AACAGAAAACAACTACTTTCCTGGCTATATGCCACGACGAATATTGAATTACATCTATTGAACACACACTATAAGAATTTGAAAACAAAATCTTCTTGAGTAGAGAATTTATATTTATATTGTCTTAGTTGGATGTATGGAGTGGATGTACCTACAAACTGACTTGAAGACATTGTTGAAGTCAGGATTGATTGCATCTATCACTAATCAACAAAAAAATTTATAGGGTGTAACTTGAAAAAATGAAGTTGAGGCGTGGTTTAGTGAAACTGAAAAAAATAATGTATGTACCAGATGGTGATTTATTTCATGGACGATAGTGTAGCTAACCCTTCAAAAACATACCTCGATGCTTGTACCATAATCTATAAATTTATATTTTCTATAACCGCTATAGATTCGACAAGAGCACCCAACGGCCTACTACGGCGGTCAGTATGAAGCGGCTGAAGAAGACCTCCAAGTATCTGCAGATGCTGCCCAAAGAATTCGCCGTCAGCATCGTTCAGTACAAAATAGATTTCCACAAGCACTGCAAGGGCAATCCGATGTATCGGCGAACAACGAATATTTTGCCGTGGGAATTGATGGCAAGGTAATGATTTTTCACCCATATACGAATAATCAATACGGATAATCTCTATCTGTTTCCATAGCGAAACATGAAGCCGATTTTTGAAGACAAATGACTATCCATAAGGAAAAGTGAGATACGATCATACACATACTGCTTTGAAACGCATGTCTTTGATGACTACGTATCATGCCACCAAATCCTTATGGATATTCATTTGTTTCATATTTTTGGCTTCATCCTGGCACCCGTTATGATCCGTATTGTTTATTAATACGTATATGTCTTCACCTCGCTTTCATTAGCTTGGTATGTATATGTTTGTATACAGGGTGGCATTGAAATAAGTGCAAATATTTTTAACACTGAGAAAGCTCGACGTGTACTATATGGAATGGCACTATTGAAAAAAATTTAGGAATCAAAATAAAATTTGAGGTTAGACCCCTTTCTCCACCCAAAGTTCTACACTGTAGCAATTCTGACGTCACCTCTGTTCAAATGTCCATGCGGTAGGCACAATCACGCGGAGTTCAATCATTTGAATTGTGAAGTAGCGTACTTGATTTTTTCTCGTATTTTGTTCAATTTTTGGGATGAAATTTATCGTTAATTGTATGGAAGAATTAGAAAAAATCTGATATCATGGGAATATTCCTTAGACTGTATAACATTAATGTGCTGAATATGTGCACTCATTTCAAAAACACCTTGTATATGTGTAACAAGGAACACGGAATGTTCGAACGTGATTTTGACCCACTTCAAAGTGTCGAATTGAAATCGAAACTTCGCACTCTTATCAAAGAACCGATGACAATAGCATAACTTGATAGTTTTGTTCCATTATCCTGAATAGGATCTTCAGGATGAGCGATTTTTTCCTCATAAAATGGTGAATGCGCTGTTTCACTATCATTTCAAAATGTTCCTTCACCAAAATTTCAAATGTTCGTTTTTCGTCGACCTCTACAAAATTCACATTTTACGTTCTAAATTCCGAACAAAAAACCGAAGGTGTAAAGAATGTAATAAATGTAAGCAATTGGTGCTGGACATGCATTCTTTATTTTTCAGTATGACAATAGGTTTCTATCTCTTGACATTACCCGTCATCCTAATCTATATGGAGTGTTCATAATTTAATAACATTCCAAACCTTACACCTCTTCACTAAAAAGATCAGATATGCAATCAACAAGTTTCAATCAAAAATTGGATGAAAACACCTACTACAATGAATAGGTAATCAACATTGTTGAACACAGAAAAACTCATAAATGATAACTCTCAAGGTATTTTGGTGGGTTCACAGATCTTTTGGGCCTTGCAGAAGAAACCTCTTCATCTTGATCAATGTATCTTTCAGATGGTACGCACTACGACGCACATAATCGAATCGGCTGGATTTTCCTCTGAAGTTAGGAGATGGATCGCAACATTCGCAACTCGGAGATACACCTCTGATATAGGAGATACGTCTCGATAACTATCTTCCGAAATTCTTGATTGTTTCAGATCTATCCTATTCCTGAGTAATATTCGACCTGAAGAATCACTGACAATATATTATCGTGGTGTATCACGTTTTTCTACCACTTTTCCTGGATACCATTCATCTTCTTTTCTGATGATAATATTTTCACCATTTTCCAGATCTTTTAAGTTAGCAGTACCTTTTTTATCATAATAATATTTTTGCATATCTTGGTTTTTTTCAAGTGATCATTGAACTTTCCTCATCATTTTTATCTGGATTTAATAATTTAGAGTAAGTTGACAATTCATCTTTCAATCTTCGACTATTGAGGAGTTGACTTTTTCTCTTTCTGCCAAACCATTAGATTGTGGATATTTAGGACTAGATGTAATCTGATGATACTCCTAAAACCCCACGTATGACAACTCTGGTCCGCGCGGAGTGAGTTGACAACTGTCAAACTGTCATGTGCTGTTTCCAAATTGATAATTCACGAAGTGTTTGAGGTCGAGGAAAAAATGTCTCGCCTGATTGTTAGCCTCGGGTCTCAATTTGCAGACTCGACTACACTAGACAGTTCTTAATCCTTGGTACGTAAATAACTATTTTGTTACATCTACTAACTTTACGATACTTTTTCATATCCAGAGACACCGCAGTGTCTTACAACACCAAGTACTGGTTTGAATATAAATAGTTTCATCCAGAGACAGGTGATTTTGACGTGGTAACGTTTTGACCCACTCGAAAACGTCGAATTAAATTGAAACTTTTTCGCACACTCATCGAGGACCGATGACAATATCACGATTTAATATTTTTGTTCCATTATCCTAATCATCAGGATCTTCAGGAGGAGCGATATTAAAACTAGGGGTACGGCTAACATCAAATGATCACTCTCGCATTGCTAGTAATTTCTTTTCGGAATAAACCAGTAGGCCCTGGCCCTATCTCACCGGGCCGTAGTCTATCCCCTCTCTCTCGACGCTGACGTCACACTAGTAGGTTGAGATTTCACAACAGTTCGTACTGGTGCGTTCGTAATTGAGGCCATAGCTCATTTACTATAAATTTTAGAAGCACAATCAATCGAGACGAAATGATCCCCAACGAATTCCCCGACTTTTGGTGAAAAAATGAATCCAATAGGATGAATCAATACCGAGTTCTGGCGTTGTAAAGAAATTACATTTTATTGAAAATCAGGACGTTGCACTACAGAATACTATTTTTTGCAAATTTGGAATCGGAATAAGATTAAACCAATTCAGTATATCAAACTAGGATAATGTATCAATTGAATAGTGAAAAAATGGTAGAGTTACCTACAATTAGTCCGAAAGAAATTAAATATAAAGAGCGCGTAAAAAAAGAGCCATTATACCTACTTACCCTAATTTATTTTTTAATTATTTTTGTGTGGTTGTGTTCATATGAACTCCACCTATTTTGATCTTTTTAATTTTGATAGTTTGAAAATAAATCCAAATCAATTTCTTTCATGAATTTAACGTTATTCTTGAAATATATACTCTTCAGCAGAAAATAATTAATACCGAATAGGCGTTTTTGTGTAATAACACACTCGAGTGATAGGATTTCTAACGTCATCAAAGTGCGGCCTTCATCTTTAGACATAAACGCTGCTAAAATCCCTCTGGAATAAAGTGGATGTGTATTATATCGATTTGTAGGCAATTAAATTCCCTACAAAAAAGTCAGTGACAGCATATATCCACAGTTGATAGGATTAGCATGGGAGGCGTCCGAACTTTTTGAACTATTCTGTAATGAACACCTGAATCATCGTTCTACTTGAACTGAAATATCGGTTTGGTATTGGCCCTTGGGAATTTGAAAAAAAACTCAGTCAATACAGATACTATGAGAAATCTTTTCATGATTGAATCATTTCTGTGAATTGAATATTGGAATTTTGGTAGCTGTTTAAAAAAGGACAATTCTGAATGGAGTCAATTGTTTTTGATATGCGATATTTCTGAAACTAATGATCGTAAATCAGTGAAAGTTGATTCATCTTCTGGAAAATTCTGTTCTGTACATATTTGACCTCTTGATATTTTTTGCTAACCGTTTTCCCGAGGTACATCAATGAAACGGAGAGACAATTTCCACTGCGTTGATTTTGTCCCTACTAGTGTGACGTCACGAAAGCGATGCTCCGGCCCGGTGAGATAGAGTAGGCCCTGAATAAACTCGTACTAGTCAGCTGAAGATGGAAACATAGTAGCCAAATCACGTATTTAGGATTTTCTCAATATTGTGGTGTTTTGGATATATATTTGGGTTTGAGGAGAGTACAATAAAATGATATTCCATAAACTGATTATTGCTCTAAAAAATAATTGTCATAGGTAGTATTTCAAAATTGATTCTACAGTGAAAATAAGCAATGAAGAATTATACCTAGCTTCCTCAACTAAATAATAATGCTAGTGTACTCCTCTCGTGCCCTTTCTATTACCGAAAATCCGAATTCTACTATACAGGGTGTCCTAAATTCGAGCCTCCTCAATGGAATGGAATAGAGGTCTCTACTTCAGTGTTTTTTGAAAAACAAATGATTTTTGTTTCCATTTCAGAATATCTGATGAAATACTGGATTTTGCTCTTCTAGGAGTAGCAAGAGAAATAGAAGTTAATGATATAGTGACCAACATTTACCAATCAGAACTTCAACTGTAATTGTATATTAAAAATAAAACAATACATTGTTCCATGAAGTCCTATTTATTAATCATCAATGTCCATAAATAAAAAAAATCTATATCCTAATTGGAGAAAATGGAATCACAAACACACAATGAGATAAAATAACTATTTTCTATAAGTATAAAGATTTTTGCAATCTTCCTTTTTGAAACTGTGTAATACACCAATAGGTACCATGTTATAATAACATAAAAAAATATTATGTTCCTATTAAAACAAAGGAACATAGACATCAGTTGGGTAATTCACGCCCAATATTTTATTGCAAGCCCCATATGCTGCCAACTTCTTAGCGGCCTTCTTGTTGGGACCTGAAAACAAAAAGAAACATTTCATTCTCCATAGCATTGATACTAGTATAAGTACAGGGTGTATCTTCATATTAACGCAATCTATACCTCCAGAACAAAAAAAAAATCATTCTGAAAATTACCACACCATACAAGGAATTCCAAGAAACACTCCAAGGAATTCTAGAGAATTCCAAAGAAATCCAAGGGATTCCAAGCAAATCCAAGGAATTCCAGTTGTTAGTACACCAGAATTATACCGCACTCCGCTCAAAGAATTCCAAGGAAATCCAAAGAATTCCAGTTGTTTGTAGCCCAGGAATATACCGCATTTCACCCAAAAATTTTCAGAAAATTCCAAGAAAATCCGAAGAATTCCAAGGAAATCCAAAGAAATCCATGGAAATCTAAAGAAATTCCAAAGAAATCCATGGGAATCCAAGGAATTCCAGTTGTTTTTACACCAGAATTATACCGCACTCCGCTCAAAGAATTCCAAGGAAATCCAAAGAATTCCAAGGAAATTCAAGGAATTCCAGTTGTTTGTAGCCCAGGAATATACCGCATTTCACCCAAGGAATTTCAGAAAATTCCAAGGAAATCCAGGAAATTCCAAGGGATTTCAAGGAAATACAAGATACAAGGAATTCCAAGAAAATCCAAGGGATTCCAAGATAATCCGAAGAATTCCAAGGAAATACAAAGAAATCTCAGGAATTCCAACAAAATCCGAAGAAATCCATGGAATTCCAAAGAAATCCATGGAATTTCAAAGAAATCCAAGGGATTCCAAGGAAATTCAAGAAATTCCAGTTGTTTTTACACCAGAATTATTCTGCTGAAAGAATTCCAAGGAAATCCAAGGAATTCCAGTTGTTCGTAACCTAGGAATATACCGCATTTCACCCAAGGAATTTCAGAAAATTACAAAGAAATCAAGGAAATTCCAAGGGATTCCAAGGAAATACAAGGCATTCCAAAACAATCCAAGAGATTCCAAGAGAATCCAAGGGATTCCAAGAAAACCCAAGGGATTCCAAGAAAATCTGAAGAATTCCAAGAAAATCCAAAGAATTTCAAGGAAATTCAAGGAATTCCAGTTGTTTGTAGCCCAGGAATATACCGCATTTCACCCAAGGAATTCCAGAAAATTCCAAGGAAATCCAAGGAATTCCAAGAAAATCCAAGGAATTCCAAGATAATCCGAAGAATTTCAAGGAAATACAAAGAAATCTCAGGAATTCCAACGAAATCCGAAGAAATCCATGGAATTCCGAGGAAATTCGAGGAATTCCAGTTGTTTTTACACCAGAATTATACCACACTCTGCTCAAAGAATTCCAAGGAAATCCAAGGAATTCCAGTTGTTAGTAGCCCAGGAATATACCGCATTTCACCCAAGGAATTTCAGAAAATTCCAAGGAAATCCAGGAAATTCCAAGGGATTCCAAGGAAATACAAGGAATTCCAAGAAAATCCAAGGGATTCCAAGAAAATCCAAGGGATTCCAAGGAAATCCAAGGGTTTCCAAGGGAATCCGAAGAATTCCAAGAAAATCCAAAGAATTCCAAGGAAATTCAAGGAATTCCAGTTGTTTGTAGCCCAGGAATATACCGCGTTTCACCCAAGGAATTCCAGAAAATTCCAAGGAATTCCAAGGAAATCCAAGGAATTCCAAGAAAATCCAAGGGTTTCCAAGGAAATCCGAAGAATTCCAAGGAAATCCAAAGAATTCCAAGGAAATTCAAGGAATTCCAGTTGTTTGTAGCCCAGGAATATACCGCATTTCACCCAAGGAATTCCAGAAAATTCCAAGGAAATCCAGGGAATTCCAAGGGATTTCAAGAAAATCCAAGGGATTCCAAGAAATTCCAAGGAAATCCAGGGAATTTCAGTTGTTTGAACACTAGAATTCCACAGCAGTTCACCCCTCTATTTTTTTTCGGAACGATATCTCTAATATATCCAATATTCCCAATACTCATCAGACACGTTCGGACATTTCCAATATTTCTAATATTTCCATATTCAAAACACCATAAATCACCCACCTGTGCCGAGGAAAGTCTGGCCGTCGCAGTTGCACCTGAACGAGAACGTCACGTTCGGCGGATTGCCGGTCTTGCCGATCTCCTCGAAGTGCGCGTGCGGCAGCATCTGGTTGATCAGCATCAGCGGGTTGATCGACTCCGGATTGGCCGGCATCTTCTTCGCCGGCCTGTTCTCGTGCTGCTTGGCCGCCGGACCGCCGGCGCTCAGCTCGAACTGAGCCTGCTGGTTCTGCGGAAGGCGTTAATTCGAATGACCATGACTTTCGGTATGGGGTTTTAGAACAATTCGCGATAGAAAATAAAACGTCACTACAACTGACGGCAAAAACCTGAACAATAATTCTGAGCGGTTTGTTTCGATGGATGTGAACAATAAGCACCATATACGTATTAGTAAACAATATGGATAATCTACAGGAGAAAAACGAACTCAAAGTCGGTGTGTACACTGCTTATATATAATTTTGATATTAAATATTGTGGTCGACCGACTTCGAGTTCGTTTTTCTCCTGTTGAAAAAATACCGGACCACTTTGAGAATGGATGGTTTCCATGACTTAATATGGATAATCTCTATCTGTTTCCACATTCATTTATGGATATTTATACTCAAAAATCTAATCCATATCAATATTATCCAGGAAAGATTTCTGAATGTGTATACTGAATAGGCTCCGAAACTACTGGACCGGTTTGAAAAATTCTTGATCTCTTGATATCCCTGATGAACATAGATAGCATGTTATCTACAAAATTTCAAATTCATTTCCATGTTTTGGAGAAAGATGAAAATATGAAAATAACCGAATGCAATTTGTATAAGATAACAAGCTTGAATGGAAAAATATTAAATGTAATCCATTGGAATATTTCAGGAATAAATAAATTCTCAAAGAAATGTTGTTTTCTTTTTTCTGAGATATATTATACTGACAAGACTATAAATAAAATGTGATATGACATTTAGATTGTATGAAGCACTTACGAAAACGTTACATTTTCTTCACTTTCAGTCTATCTGACATTTATTTGTATTGTTTACTGGCGTCTAGCGACATGGTTTCAAATGTGTTTTTATGGCAACAGGATGTTTTCGCAGTGCAATCTGTTGGATTTCAATAGAAATATCCAAAAAGTGAATTAAAGAAGTGACGCCACTGTTTGGTGTTTATGAATATGAATTCTGTTTTGGTTCCGTATGCTAAACTGTCGGATGCTCACTCTTCAGATATCTATCAATAAAGCAAGTAGTTCAAACCGTCTGACGTTGTTTTCATTAAGTACCTACCAAAATGTCCCAATAACAATAATAGGTTATGGGCCCAGGTACACTCACATTAAGTTGAAATCATGGTAGTGTTATACTAGTGCGAAAACTATAAACATACCTATTACTATAGAGGTATTATAGAGATAAATCAACCGTTCGGTAGTGTAAAGAAAGAACACCGTTTCGAGTGGAATGTTCAGTGAAATCATTAGTAACTGATCCCAAGGTGCTCCATATTATAAACAATAATATTCCGCATGATATTACCGATAAGTGGCAAACATTGATGAGACAATACCATGGTGAAATAAAATGAAATTCAATTTCCAAGGAATCTGGACGCAACTAATGAACGACTCATTTAAGCAACACAACTATATTTTGACTCCAAATCAGCAGCTCTTGACTTGGATGTTACGAAGTGAAGTTACACTTTGATTGCTGATCTGCTACCAGAAGGAGCTTTCCCCTATAATATACAATGTTTAACGAAGAGATCGCCGCTCACTACAAGGTTGCCATTGCATTGAGATTATATTGATACCTATTTGATATTAGCATTTGTCGGCCTAACGACTTTTACACCACATAGTGCAAAAAGGTAAACTAATTTGGTGTTACCGAAGAAAGTTTGTGTTAAGTCTCAATAAGCAAGTTCCCAGATGTGATATGTGGTCATTGTAAATGGAATATTCATGACAAGCCGAATGGGTGTTATCACAAAGGGATACAAGACGGATTGAAGCCACAAATATATACACCAACTCATACAACAGGAGTAAACACTGAAGTATATACTGATGGTTTGAATATTATAACAAGAAAAATATAACCAACTAAATGGAGTCATTAGGAAACAGATGAACAAAATAAATGAACAAAACTAAGAATCAAGCACTGCCACCTTGGTGGAACATTGCCAAACCTTGAAATATCAGAAATACAGTGCTGTAAGCTTCTGATGCTGCCATGTTCCACTGTCGCGTCAGTTGGACGTATGCAAAAAAATAAGGGTATGGTATGGTATGAAAATTTAAAATGGTAAAATGAGCCATTCTATGAGGTAAGCTTTCAACCTTATGTCTCAAAATGGTAATTACGAAACCATTTTATACACGTAGACCTTTGACTTACTCAAAAGGAATTTATTTGACTAAAAACAGTAATAAATAAACCATTCTATAATGTTAGCATCGAACAAACTCAAAAAATGTTATTATACAATCTATTCTTACAAGCTTTGAATGGTTTATTTAATGTGACATTGAGAAAGGTACAAAACATGATGGTTAATGGAAGTCGAAGTAAATTGTACTAATCAATTGAACTAATAATTACAAAGAATGCCTCAAACAGGTTCAAGCACACGATCAGGTTTAATTGAATAAAATTCAAAAACTATACTGAGCTGTTAGTGATCTTGAGGACTTCAAGCTTCGTGATTAAATTTTTTTTTTGAACCTTGTATATATGAAGCAAGTGAGACTTCCAAAGAATAAAAAGAAAATCATGTAAAATGACCTTTCTCTATAGCTCACACAATACCTATATACTGTATATATATAAACAATACATACATACTCAGTACACGATTACTTATTGTGTAGGTAGAGTCAGGTACAGGGAATGACATGTCGCGTTTGGATGGTATGTTAGCGCTCTTATTACAGAAGTGACTAGGTGTGCTGTCGCTGCCCATGTGCGACAGTTTATGTGTATCTGACTGTATACATCTACATGTTAGTTAAATCAAATCAGAAGTATTGAGTTTGAGTGAGAAAGTAAAACAGATATTAATTCAACTAGGGAAAAAGCCAAATACTCAAAGTGGAATGCATTGGTCACAAAGAGAGAAACTCAAAGTCATTACCACAACTAGTTCATAAAATGAACGACAATGGTAGATAACGAGAGGAAAACAACTACTTTCCTGGCTATATGCCACGCAGAACATTGCATTACATCCTCCCGAAACCTATGCGATAGTTCGTATAAACGAATAAAATCGCAAGTGTTTCCTTCCTAAACGCTGAGCTGCGCTTAAGTGGTTCAGGAACGCTGACTACCTGCAGACCGGTTTCGAGCTCTTGGCTCTCATCAGTACAGGGCTGTCCCAGATAGCTTCTTGACCGCTATCTGGTGCGAACCTGACCCAACGTAAACGCATCTCAGCATTTATACCATACGAGGCGTACGACGTCTGCGAAATGAAAACGCGAACGCCGAACGCCACCTGGTAAGGAAAGAAACACTCCAAAACAAAATCCCACTTCAGGTGAAATGGGAGTGGCTGGTTGCCCGACTGGCATGTTTTCAACTAGGGAAAAAGCCAAATACTCAAAGTGGAATGCATTGGTCACAAAGAGAGAAACTCAAAGTCATTACCACAACTAGTTCATAAAATGAACGACAATGGTAGATAACGAGAGGAAAACAACTTCTTTCCTGGCTATATGCCACGCAGAACATTGCATTACATCCTCCCGAAACCTATGCGATAGTTCGTATAAACGAATAAAATCGCAAGTGTTTCCTTCCTAAACGCTGAGCTGCGCTTAAGTGGTTCAGGAACGCTGACTACCTGCAGACCGGTTTCGAGCTCTTGGCTCTCATCAGTACAGGGCTGTCCCAGATAGCTTCTTGACCGCTATCTGGTGCGAACCTGACCCAACGTAAACGCATCTCAGCATTTATACCATACGAGGCGTACGACGTCTGCGAAATGAAAACGCGAACGCCGAACGCCACCTGGTAAGGAAAGAAACACTCCAAAACAAAATCCCACTTCAGGTGAAATGGGAGTGGCTGGTTGCCCGACTGGCATGTTTTCAACTAGGGAAAAAGCCAAATACTCAAAGTGGAATGCATTGGTCACAAAGAGAGAAACTCAAAGTCATTACCACAACTAGTTCATAAAATGAACGACAATGGTAGATAACGAGAGGAAAACAACTACTTTCCTGGCTATATGCCACGCAGAACATTGCATTACATCCTCCCGAAACCTATGCGATAGTTCGTATAAACGAATAAAATCGCAAGTGTTTCCTTCCTAAACGCTGAGCTGCGCTTAAGTGGTTCAGGAACGCTGACTACCTGCAGACCGGTTTCGAGCTCTTGGCTCTCATCAGTACAGGGCTGTCCCAGATAGCTTCTTGACCGCTATCTGGTGCGAACCTGACCCAACGTAAACGCATCTCAGCATTTATACCATACGAGGCGTACGACGTCTGCGAAATGAAAACGCGAACGCCGAACGCCACCTGGTAAGGAAAGAAACACTCCAAAACAAAATCCCACTTCAGGTGAAATGGGAGTGGCTGGTTGCCCGACTGGCATGTTTTCAACTAGGGAAAAAGCCAAATACTCAAAGTGGAATGCATTGGTCACAAAGAGAGAAACTCAAAGTCATTACCACAACTAGTTCATAAAATGAACGACAATGGTAGATAACGAGAGGAAAACAACTACTTTCCTGGCTATATGCCACGCAGAACATTGCATTACATCCTCCCGAAACCTATGCGATAGTTCGTATAAACGAATAAAATCGCAAGTGTTTCCTTCCTAAACGCTGAGCTGCGCTTAAGTGGTTCAGGAACGCTGACTACCTGCAGACCGGTTTCGAGCTCTTGGCTCTCATCAGTACAGGGCTGTCCCAGATAGCTTCTTGACCGCTATCTGGTGCGAACCTGACCCAACGTAAACGCATCTCAGCATTTATACCATACGAGGCGTACGACGTCTGCGAAATGAAAACGCGAACGCCGAACGCCACCTGGTAAGGAAAGAAACACTCCAAAACAAAATCCCACTTCAGGTGAAATGGGAGTGGCTGGTTGCCCGACTGGCATGTTTTCAACTAGGGAAAAAGCCAAATACTCAAAGTGGAATGCATTGGTCACAAAGAGAGAAACTCAAAGTCATTACCACAACTAGTTCATAAAATGAACGACAA